TTCCCTCCTTCCCTCCTTCCCTCCTCTCTCTCTCTCCCTCTCCTCTTCTCTCCCTCTCTCTCTGTCTCTCCTCCTTTCTTTCTTTTCTTTGTGGCAGTGTCATCCTATGTAGCACAAGATGGCCTCAAACATATCATTCTCCTGCCTCAGCCCTCCTGAGTCCTGGGATTACAGGTATTCACCCTGCCCAGCACAAGGAGTGTTTAATAAAGGGACAGTATAACAAAGATGCTGGTGAACATTGAGGGAAGTCACTGGCAGTTTTCAGGAGGGAGGGAACCATAGGAAGTGAGCACAGAAAGAGATTTATTTTAAGGAATTGGCTCATGTGATTATAGAGTCTGCAAGACCAAACCTAGAGGGTGGGCTATCAGGCTGGTGGCCCAGAGTCGAGCTAATGGTAAGGTTCAGGACAAAGGCCATCTGTGCAGAATTCCCTCCTGCATGGGGAAGGTCATTCTTTAGCTCTATTCAGACCTTCACCTGATTGGATGAGGCCCATACATATTAGGGAAGGCTTCTGCTTTACCCAAAGTCCACTCATTCAAATTGAATCTCTTCAAAAGCATCCTCATAGAAACATCCCTGACAGTGAATGACCACACAGTAGTCTGGACACTGGCCCAGCCAGCTTGACGCGTAAAATGAACCTTCACAGTCACTCAGGGCTAGGGCCAGGAGAACCATTGTCTTCCTAGGACTGGGACAGAGCTGCATAGGAAGGACCTGCTATGGCAACCAACAACAAAGGAACTAAAGAATAAATACCCAGGCCTGACATATCCTGCCCAATCCAGCTGAAATCTGGAATGGAATCCACTGACATGACCTCCTGGGGCTTAAGGCAGCTGGGGAAGGATGGAGAGAGGACGCCAGAGGCACAGTGAAGCATCCTATTTGCATATAGAATGGAACTGTACACACAACTGTACCACCTAGGGGAGTGCCCAGAGAGTCCTGCAGTGGGGGAGTTGTCTAGGGGTCTGTGCAGGGGTAGGGGAGATCATTTGTCCAGCCTGATGCACCCTGCTGACGCTGGATCCCCCTGAAAGGACAGGGGACACCTCCCCAGCCCAAGGCCTGCAGAACCTCCTGCTGCCCAGGGAAAGAAGTCAAGTTTCTCCCCTAGCCTCCACCCTCTGGCTGCACCCTGCCTTCTTCACCCACCCTACCTCCCCTCTCCATCCCGGTGCATATCTGTGTCCAGCCTAGCTGGAGGCCCCTCACAGCACTAGGAAAATCTGCCCAAAGGGAGTCTCTTAAGGATAGATTCTCAGGAGGGAAAAAAAGCTTCAGGACATTGATGCTTTGGACCAGATCATTCTTTGTTGGGATGGGAATCCTAAAGTCTTAATTGCAAGATTATTAGCAACCCTGGCATCTACCCATTAGCTGTCATTGGATCACCATTCACACTTGGGGCAACCCAAAATATCTTCAGGCATTGCCATATGTCCCCTGGTTGGAAAAACTGCCAGCATTTGAGAAGCACTGTCCTACTGTTCACCTTCATCAAGTTGGCAACATTCTGATTCCTCAGCAAACTAGGTCTACAGGTCCCATTCAACCCAGCTATTCCCCCTCTGGGTATTTTCCCAGAAGAACTGAAAACATCATGTCACAGCGATATATGTGCACCCATGTTTATAGCAGTGCAATTTGTAATAGCTAAGTCATGGAAGCAACCCAAATGTCCATCCACTGAGGAATGGATAAAAAAGTTGTGGTATTTTTATATAATGGAATATTATTAAGCTATAAAGAAAGATAAGCTCGAGGCTTTTATAGATAAATGGTCACAACTAGAGACCATACTCATAAGTGAAATAAATCAGACCCACATGTGTAAACACCGTATTGTTTCACTAGTGTAAGAACCTGAAAGAGTGAATAAAATTAGTAGGTATGATAGACATTGTGAAATGAAAGGAAACTGCTCAAAAGAAAGAGCAACTGGGATAAGGGAAAAGAGAAAAGAAGGAAGGGTAAAATTATGTATATGTATATATAGGATAGCTAACATAGTTGTACTACAGACTTCTATCTCTTTATTGAAAGGAATAGTTAATGCTTAATTATTTGATCAATCTTATATGTCTATATTTGTTTTCCTGAGTAACCACTTTGAAGAAATCAATATGTAAGACAACAACCATTGTTAATTCCCTATCACTTTGTGTATAATTCAGTATTGCTTGTATTGTTCTTGTGCTACTTTGTAAATGTATGTGTGTTCATTAATATATTTTTATTCTTTTATTTTTAAAATAAAAAAGAAAACAAAACAAAAAAATAGTGTGTGCATCATATGAGGCATCTTTCTGCCATGATTTTCAGTAAAGGAACAAATATTAAGCTATCTATCAAGAAAAGGAGGCACTTGAAAAGCCAACTATGAAAAAAAAATGATATGAAAAAAAATCAGTATCCCATGCTAAGAAAACAACCATCTCAGCACTATGCTCTGAGCGACCTCTGCTATCTGTCTTCCTGTTGACTTTGTGTGGGTGAAGAAACCAGCCCAGAAGAGGGAAGCTGGAAATATAAACAACAGGGTGTTTAAATATGAACTCTGGTGACTTGCCAACCTCATCTTACACCAAAGCCCAACATAAAACCTCCATGTCTCTTAGAAGTCAACACAGATGCAATCACCACTGCAGACTTTCCAAGTCTCTGGGATCAGAGAACTTTCTAAACTTAGAAAAATACGCTAAGAGAAAATAACAAATTCATCACACCCTGTGACAGTGTCACAGAGAAGGGACTTACAATCTGTTAGATGTCAGATGTGCTAAATGTCTCTGGATAACCAAAGAATGAATACAGGACAAAGAAGATTGAGAGTAGGAAAAGTTCACTGAGAGGAAGGTCCAGAAAGACAAGGCTCATTTTCTGGGTGATTTTCTACACAGAAATGACCATATATCAGGACACTTGGCCAAGCTGAGGCCAACCTATGGGGTTACAAGTGAAGTAGCTTAGCTAATATTGATCCTAGAGGGAAGTGAGGCAGGTACCAGGGGTGTATATATGGTGGACATCACTTACTTCAGCTTATCTAGAACACCTAAGAAAGATCAAGACCCTTCAGGGAAGGGATAGAAGTCTGGGTCAAGGTGTTCTGGTCCCCCACACATGCATCAGATGCTTTATCTGGGCTCACTGGACCAGGTAGTGCTCAGTACGTGCAATCTGAAACTGCTGTATATCTCTAGGGAGCCCTGCAGGCCTGGATCTCTCCCAGTTTGTCTCCAGCCGCAGTTTTGTTGTGTCTTATCTTTTGTACCAACTCCTTTGAAGACCTGGACCCTCTCTGGCTGCCTGTTGATTTCTATCTAAATTAGCTCTGTATTATAATAGTATATCATATTTCATTAGAAAAAATTAAGCAAATATTTGTTCTAAAAAATTAAATGGCAAAAAAACATTGTTTTCCTTTGGAAAAATAATTTAGTAACTATTTCCCTGAATGACTTACCCAAATCAGCCACAGGAAAAGTTTTCACACATTGGCCCAGTAATCCCATGTACAGTACAGGTATCCAATCTAAAGCCAAATTCCAAAATACAGCAAAAGCTCAAGCACTACAATATTGATGACATTATTCGAGATCATGGAAACCTGTGAGTCTTTTACTGCAAACGCTAGTGGAGGAATTAAGTCAACCTTACTCGAACAGCCACCCAGAATTGCCATTTGTAGATTCTGTGCATGCTGTGGAGAGGTGATGTGGCTTGACAGGCAGGTGTGGGCATGCATGGTGAGATGTGACGTGCACACACACTTCCCAGATGCAAGTGTCCAGCCGTGCACAGCAACAAACGAACCCCCAGGAGAGGTGTCATATGCTCAGTGTCAACAGCCGTGTTCATCCACTACCATTGATGTCTGTTGGATTCCAACTCGAAATTCACGTTTAATACATTGAGCAGAGGTCAGCCAGATAGGCAGCTGTCCTGTCTCCACTTAGCATAGAATTGACACTTTCTTCATGGAATGGAAATACACCTGGTTCAAGTTGGATGAGTTTCAGAAATAGGGAAAATAGATATGTAACACAACAAAAGTAAGAGACATATGATCAAAGGTGAATTAAAGTGCGTATTCTGCCGCAATGTTTTCCCATAGACTCGAAATCCTGAGCCTAAATGCTGAGTGTCTTTGGTTCTGGGTATTGGGAGCCAGGGGTCCTCCTGGTTGAAGTGGCCTCTTAGTGTCCTGGAAGGTAGAACCTCAGGAGGCCACCTGTGCTATCAGCAGGTCCTTGGGGATCCCTGGATCCACAGACATTTGAGCAGCACCACTTGGGACACAAAGAGAGCCTGGTGGGAGGTCAGTGGGCTTAGGTGGGCAGAGAACACGGCTTGGGCCATCTTCATTCCAGCTTTGCACATGGGTTTTGTTTGAATCTGGTCCCCATTGTTGCTACCAGGGCCACCTGAGCAAGGCACAGCCCTTCCTCATTGCTAGGGGGTCTCATCAATATCTACTATGCAAATTGTCGTGAAGACGCAGGAAGGCCCTGGTGCACAGAGGTCCCCAGTAAACATTAGGGATTCCTATCCATGGTGTCCTCCTTGGCACTACTCTCTATGTGAGGGGAGCTTTGCACCATCTCAGGCCCAGATCTGCCCTTGCAAAACACACTAGTTTGCTGCCTGAAATCTCTTTACTCTAAGCTGAACTTTGGAAGGAAAATTTGGCAGCACAATTTGGGGAGAAATTTCATTTGGAGACTATTATAGATTCCCATGCAGTTGTAAGAGGTGTAATCAAAATGCATGGTGAATGTTTAAATTTTTAAAATGTGTTACAGTACAAGACACATTGCCATTGATCCTCCTCAAAGTGTTTCCCCCTCACTCTGAATGCAGTTATTCCATTGTTCTTGACATTTACCTTCTAAAGCGGTGCTGGAAATCTTTCCTGGGTACTTTTACGAGATATGACCAAAAAAAAAAAAAAAATACAGGGTGAATGATGATGACAAGTGCCATCCAAGAGAAAGCAGGCTTGCAAAAACATCACGGTGTTTCCTCATCCACTTTATTTACTGATCTAACATCACACAACTTCTGGCTCTTCCCCAAAGTCAAAATGATCACGAAAAGTAAACATTTTAAATTAATTCAGAACATCAAAGCACCATGACAGAGCAACTGAAAGCAGGAAAAAAGGAGTTCCTGCGCTTCTCCAGAAAGCGGCAAAAACTAGGGGATCAGGGTGTTCAAAATACAGGGGAGTATTTTGAGGAGGATCAATGGCGGTGTGTCTTTTATTGTAATACATTTTTAAAACTTAAACATTCTCTATATTTTTCAATCATCCACATACTCTGTTAGGAAATTCAAAGGTGCCCTGTAAGTTGTGAGAAAGATTACCCAGCCTCCCTCAATGGAGACACCTTCTAAAGCAACAGTGTGAGATCAAACCAGACATTAGTGTTGATACCAGCTACCGATCATACTTGTTTTCCCCAGTTGTACGTGTATGTGTGTGTGCTAACTTCAGTGCAGTGTCCTGACATGTCCATGTCATGTACATGTACAGCCACACTTTTTACATAGTTTGTCCAAACACGAGGCTTCCCATGATTCTCAGGGGCCTTGCCTCCATTTACTTCTGCACTAATCAAAAAGAAAAGATTGATAAATACACAAGCTTAAATATCGCATTGTTTCTCTTGTATGACAAACTCAAACAGTACATACGGAGCATAATGCGGGGTAGATATTAGGAAGTAGGAAGAACCTGTTCAAATGGGAAGGGGAACAAGGGAGAGGGGAGGGGAATGGAAGGAAAAGAAAAGGAAAAAAAGAGGAAATATAAGGAAAGAATGGAAACAAAGCTTTTATAAGTGGGGAGGGGAAGAAGGGTTGAAGGGTGGGGAGGGAAATGGGGCAAAAAAGAAGAATCAAGGTATAGTATGTACAGGTCCAAAATCCCTATGATGCATCTGATCAATGTATGACAAATATATCCAAATAAAAACATAAAGTTAAAAGTAAATTATCTACAAAAAAATTTTTTTACAAAAAAAAAACAAATCACAAAAAAAGATTGATTAAGCAAGTGGATAAAGTGAACAAGATTAACTTCAGCAATGGATGGTGTGTTTTTAAGGACAAGCTCACTGACCCTGTTGGTAAAATCTCAGTCATCTCTGGATCTTGTTTCCCCACCCCAAGGGGGCTTTCTGCTCTGATTCTTGTTTTCCTGACCAAACTCCAAGAGGGCAGCAAAGCATCTTTGAACTACTGCAGGTCTCTCCTTGTCTCTGTCTCTACCACTTTGCTCCTCTGGCTCCCTGTGTGTCTGTCTCTCTAATTCTCTCCCCTCTCTACCCCGAGCAGTACTCAAAATTCCACCTCCCAGGAACCAAGGACACCAAAAAGCAGGCACTGGTGACCCTGCTGCATTCCCATGTTCTTGACAATTTATCAAGTAGATAAGCTCCAGCCAGAAAACTCAGCCCCGCAGCGCTGGCTTCCTGTGTTTGGATCTGAGGCCATCTGGAAGACGGAGGCCAGCCAAGAAAGTTACAAAACTCCCATTGGGAAGAGGCTGGGAGGAAGGCGCAGGCACACCTGGGCAGGGGAGCAGGCAGACACGCCAGGAGAGGAGAGGACTATGAGAAAGAGTTCGACCCCAAAAACTACCTGGCCACCTACTATGCCTTCAACTCGGGCACCATGGCAGAAAACGCAATCCTAAAATTTAACCGGGAAAACCTCTTCCAGACCTTCACCACAGGTGAGTGACTGGGGTCCTGTAGGGTTCATGGTGAGGGCAGCAGGGTTCCAATGGGCAGGAAGAGCTGTGGGTCTGTGCACCAAGGATGCTGTGGAGGCAGCCCAGTCCATCCTGGCCACCAGCCTGCCAACCTTAGGGCCTTTGCCGGGTGGCAGCAGATGAGTCCAGAGCCCTGGCTTTGGAGACCAAAGAGCTGGGCTTGGGTCTGTGCCCATCAGCCTCAGTTTCTTCACCTGTGAAATGCAGAGGCTGACCCTAGAACTGTTCCGTGCTGGGAGAAGATGAAAGAGCAGGCCTGAGAGCGCTACATACTGTTTGACTGCTCTGCTCGCCTCTTCTGCTAAGAGGCATGAGAGTAGGGCTTCCCAGCATTCCTGGGCTTATGAATCCCGCTGGAAATCTGATGAAATTCTTATGCACACAGTCACACACACATACACACACACACACACACACACACACACTTTTTTAAGCAGAAAACAGAGAGACTCACCCAAGCATGTATGAGGCCCTGGGTTCGAGTCTTAGCATTACCCACAAAGGGGACCAGGGGGAGAAAGTTCATGAATACCCAAAGCCAAACCACAGAGTTCAGTTTACAACTCCTTCTTCTGGGGCATTAGAACTGGGTGAACCAGTAGAGATTAATTCTCAAATTCTTCAGCACACCCCAGGGGAGACTGAGACCCAGCATGGGAGGGAGGGAGGGAGGGAGGGAGGGATGGTCAGCCCAGACAAGATCGCAGAAGCAACAGCAAGACTAAAGCTTGCATGAGGAGGCTGTGGTGTGCAGTTCAGAAGGGTGTGCACTGCACAGCCCCTAAGGGTGGCTCAGGCACTCATGCAACCAGTGCAAGAAAGGTACATCCAGGAACGCTCACAGGAACACCGAGGAGAGGAAGCTTAGTGCTCCCAGAGAAATCGGAGACTCGCTGCAGTGGGGAGGTTGGCACGGAGCTTTGGCAGATGGACAGGTGGGTGTTAAGGGAGAAAGCAGGAGGGAGGACACAGGAATTAGAGAGCACTAGCTTAGGGTTGCCTTTTTCTCTAACTCAGGGCTTCATCCTTTACCTTCTGGATTGGCTGAGCTGGGCATGAGCCCCCTGGCCCAGCTCTCAGCTTTCATCCAACTCCATCCCGAGGTTGCTTCCCGACCATGCTGGTCCAGAGTCAAAACCTTACCGGAAATAAACCAACTTCACCCAGAAAGTCAGTCCTAACCTGCCCAGAAGGCCGGGACTTACACTACCAGAGCCCCACTAGTACTCTGGGGGTTCAGAGGGGATCGGGTATGTGTGCGAGGCTACACCCACCCCCAGCCTCACTGTCCCAGCCCCAGGTGTGAACCTGCCCTCCCTGCACCAAGAGGTGAGGCAAAGGCGGGCACAGGCCTCCTCCGCACACCCTCCTAAGCCTGTGAGTCCTGGGGCAGGCAGGGTTGCGGTCTCCTCCACCCACCTCCTCAGGCCTCCCAGTGCTGTCCCCCACAGGAGGAGTGGGCGGCTACGTGCTGATCGACATAGGCACTGGCCCCACCATCTACCAGCTGCTATCAGCCTGCGAGGTCTTTGGCAAGATCATCACCTCGGATTACAGTGAGCAGAACCTGCGGGAGCTGGAGAAGCGGCTGAGGAAGGAGTCCGGTGCCTATGACTGGTCCCCCGCGGTGCAATATGTGTGTGAGCTGGAGGGACACAGGTACCACAGGTCCCACCCCCGCCACCATGGCGGGCCACCGTCCTTCTCTGCCTCCCCAAACCACCGCCTGCCTCACTGAACGTCTCTCTCCACCATCCTCCTCGTTCTCCCCACTCGGTCTCACCTCTGGCTCACAACTGACGTGGCTGCCCTGTCCCACCCCTGTCCCACCAGCTCCCTTCCTCCTGGGAGCCTCCCAGCTTGCTCCAGCCCACATTCACCTCACTTTCCTTTGAAAACTCATAGCACAACTTCTTTAATCTAATGTCGGGGTGGGGAACACACTTGTCACAGAAAGACACAGCCTGCTGGGAATCCCCTACTCCCTACCAAGTCCCACAGACCAACAGCATTGGCTGCCTGCAGCACTGTCCCCATTCCAGCTCACACAGAGCAAATGCAGAGGATGGGGCTGCAATGATTCTGCCCCTTTCTACAGCAGAAGCAATTGAGGCTCAGGCGTGGAGAGTGGCCTCTGGTCTACTCAGAGCAGGAGCAAGATGGAAATTGAAGATTGTCCTGACCTTGGGCAGCAGGGCCTGACACCTTCACAGGCAGGGCAGCCTGCAACAGGTCAGGTCAGAGCATTGCTCAGCACCCTTGCTGCATTCACTCCTGCTGTCACTCAGTGAGCACGTGCTGAGCGTCAGCCCCTCCTCTGGGCTCTGGAGGGCTCACAGTGCAGGAGTCTTGTCCCCTGGAGCCCACACTTTGGTGGAGAAGGCAACCACACCCAACTAGATAGAAGATTCAGATAAACATGAGGCGGCAGGGAAGACCTCAGCTGGATGGGGACCTGAGACACAGTGAGTCCTGGGCTGGGTAGGGCAATATGCTTAGTCTCCTTTCCTTGCTGGGACAGAATACTTGATGTGCACAATTGAAAGAAAGCGAGGTTTGATTTGGTTTATGGTTTCAGAAGCTTCAGTCCGTGGTTAGCTGGCTCTCAGGGAGAAGCAGCATGGGAGAAGGGTGTGGTGGCGGAGGATAGTTGCTCACCTCATGGTGACCAGGAAGCAAAGAGCAGGTGAAGAGTTTGAGAAGAAGAGGTCAGGGACCAGACATATCTGGTGTAGTAAAAAATATATATATGGTGAATGTTTAAATTTTTAAAATTACTATAGCAAAAACACATTGTCATTAACCCCCCCTCAGACTACTTCCCTTACCATTGAACACATTTATCCCATCATTCTTGCCACTTTCTGAAGCAATTCTGAAGCTCCTCTTTTTTGTCTTTAGTTGGACAGTCGTAGCTGCCTCAGTATCCTGAACTGATTCAAAACATTTACCTTTTATAGTCATTTTGACTTTGAGGAAGAGCCAGAAGTTGCATAGTGCCAGATCTGGTGAATTAGGCTGTGTGGGGACACACGGTAATGTTTTTACAAGTCTGATTTTCTATTGGATGGCATTAGGAAGCACCGTTCACTGAATTTATTACCATACCTTGTAAAGGCACCCAGAAAAGATTCCCAGAACTCCTTTAGGAAACGGTAAGAACCATGAGATAAGTGTGTTTGAAGTGGGAAGCTGGGTCTTTGAGGGGGGGTAATGGCAATGTGTCTTTTACTGTAATACATTTTTGAAGTTACTCACTATATACTTTGATCACACCTGGTAGTCCCCAAAGTCATAATCCTTAACCTTCCCACACACCCAGAAGTATGCTTTACTAACACAGGCATCTCGCCTGCCAACCAAGTTGATGCTCCAGATTGACTTGCACGTTCTCGGAGCAGCCTGGGTGAGCAACTTCCTGGGTACTAAAAGATCTGCAGGAGGAGGTTCAGGCAGTAGGAGCAGCAAGGGCAAGGGCTGGGGTGAGAATGAGCTGTTTAGGGAGCAGTAACAAAGTGCTTATCAAGTGAAGAGAACACAGCCAGGTGTCAAGGAAGACAGCTGAGGCCAAGCCCTGTGGAGGGTGAGAGCTTTGACCTCAAGTGCACTAAAGAGGGGCATTAAGTGGTGGGGTCTACGTGTTTTAGGAAACTACTCATCACACTGCCAGCCTAGCATGACTTAGGAGACAGGGCAAGTAAACTAGCAGAGCGGGCTTGGCAGGGGTGTCCTGGCACGGTGCTCACCAGGTGGAAGCCAGGAAGGCCTCGGAGGTGGCTGTGTCTGGATCACCTGTGGGTGGAGCCAACTGCCTGCTAGGTGTGGATATGCGGGAAGTGAGGAGTCAGGGGAAACCCCCAGGCTGGGTGTGCATGTTGGGACTCAGTGGAGACTTCGGGTTGGAGATGAACTCTAGGAGCTGTCAACAGACGGCTGAGAACACCACAGGGCCAGGTATAGACGATGCCCCATGCTGAGGTCAGACCAGGAAGCGACTGCTGTTGGAAACTGGGAGAAAGTAACCATGAGCGTGCAGACCCCAGGAAGCAGAAGAAAGGGTGGATATAAGAACGTGGAGAACATTATGATACAAATAAGCTCCACCCAGAAGAAACGCACCCCATCCCAGTTCCACAGATGTGAGATCTCCCCAGTAGGCAAATTCACAGAGACAGAAAGCAGATGAGTGGCTCCCAGGGGCTGCAGGGAAGGGACCTGGGGACAGGGGAGTCATTGCTTAATGAGTACCTTGTTTCCATAGACAGCAGTGAAAAAGTATTGGGAAAAAATACTGATCGTAGTTGCGTAACATTGCAAGCACAATTAATGCCACTAAATAGTACAATTAAGACTTCTCAAAATAGCAAATGTTATTATATACACTTTACAACTTAAAAATCAATAATGAAATATTCCAAAAGAATTATTGGTTAAGAAGGAGGTAGAGGAAGTGAAGGAGACAGTAATAAGATATACAATCCACCATCATGAGAGCTGGTCAGCTTGAGCAGATCCGTGCCTGCATTCCCTCGCCTTTATAATGAAAGGTACAATACCCGCCTCAGACATTTATTTGCTGAACAGGTTAAATTATGGGCTTTTCCCAAAGATGATGGCTGGGGTGAGGGATGATCATGATGATGATACTTATTATAATTATCATTTTCATTACTTGCTATATCAGTTACATATCAGAATCATATTGTCAGTTGGGCGTTGTATGTATCACCTCACCTCTGTGACTGTCCCCTACAGGCACAGGTGGCAGGAGAAGGAGACCCGGCTCTGAAACACAGTCACGAGTTTGCTAAAATGCAATGTGACCCAGCCGCACCCACTGGGGTCGGCCCAGGTGCCACTGGCTGACTGCGTGCTGATGCTGCTGACCCTGGAGAGCGCCTGTCCCACTGTAGATGCATACTAGGCGGCCGGGCCGAGCCTGGTAGGCCTGCTGAAGCCAGGTGGACACCTGGTCACCATGGTCTCCCTGCATTCACAGCACTACATGGTGGGCCCAAAGAAGTTCTTCGAGCTCCTCCTGGGGAAGGAGATGGTAGAGTCGGCCTTGCAGGAGGCGGGCTGCCGGGTGCTGAGGTGTAACCACATCAGCTACTCTGCCCCATCAGCTACTCTGAAGCCTGCTCCAACAATGAGGGCATCTGCTTTGTAGCTGCCTGCAAGGGCTCCAGTGTCTAAGGTCAGCCCGGCTGGGAGGGCCTGCCTGGCAGGGAAGTCCTGGCCACTGGGTCTATAATTTCATTCACTGACTCTCTGAAGCAAGTACGGCCTGCTCCCAATGCCCGGTCCAGAGGTCGCAGGAGACAAGCTGGGCATCTGTCCTCTGTAGTCCTTTCTCGTTACCCTGCACCAAAGACCATGAAAATAAATAATTTAGCTGGATACTCTTTTCATTTGGCTTCTCCCAGAAGCAGACCTTGAGACAAAGATTTGAGTCCACATCACTGACTTGAGAGCAAATTGTGTATTTGAGAAAGGACCCCAGGAAACATTAATAAGGCTGTGGACAGGAAAAAGCAGAGAAGCAAGGAGCCCTCCCTAAAGTGTGTGTCACTGCACCTCTCCAAGCTCTCACTACTGCGGGCAACTGGCAGTGCTGGGGCCTCGGGGACTGTTGTGTTCTACACACTGTGGAGTCACACCCTGCCTGGCGGAGCCGGGTCAAGTGTCACCAGCTTCTGGTGTTTGACTGAGGGCTGCTCTGGAGGACTTTAATTCCGCAGCACGTTCGGTCTCCTGCGCTGGGCCACACAGCCCCAGAGGGCACTCAAAGGTAAAGATTCATAGACGCTGGCTGGTGGGGCCTTAGGCCAGCGAGCTGAGGGACAAGAAGAGGCCACACTGGTGTCCGCACGGTCAGGACGAGCGCCATCGGCTGGGGTGCAGGGCTGGCCCTCCATGGGAGAAAGAGGAAGAGGACCTCCGGTTCTCAAAGGCCGAAACCATTCCCCACAGCGGGTGACGTCTAGGCCCAGCTCCTGTCACTCTGGCCCAGAGACCCTGAGCTTGGGAGGGGAGGAGACGGGCCTGAGGGAGGCTTCAGTGAGTCACAGGAGAGTTGCCCAGGTCCATACGGTGAGGAAGGTGATGGTAGCGGGGCCTCAGGGAGCGGCCAACTGAGGCTGAGCAGCAGGGAGTCAGGCTGCCGTGGCCTGGTGGACCAGACCCTGGGCTCGGACCTATGAGCGCATCTGCTGGGGTCATGTGTCTAGAGGGAACCTTCCAGCGTCTTAAGTTTCCTTACTCACACACTCCAGGCCAGTGACGCCAAGCCTGCTAGAGAGGAGTGCCCCAACTTTAACCCCAAACTCACTCATTTACAGCAGAGCGCCAGCACTGCAACTAAACCTGAGTACCCAGGCTTTAGTCTGGAAAAAACAACTCACACATTAACATCTTTTGTCTTAAAAGAAAAACAAATAACACAAGTGCAACTAAACTGCAACTAAACCTGAGTACCCAGGGTTTAGTTTAGAAAAAACAACTCACACATTAACATCTTTTGTCTTAAAAGAAAAACAAGTAACACAAATGCCATTGGTTCACCACCACACATGCAGACGCTAAAGGAGCCAGTTCCCAACCCTGGGCTCACCATCCTCTCTGGGATATAGTTGGGCTTCTGCGTCTCTCCACCCACACCCAGCTGCTGTTAAGCCCCCATGCTGTCTGGCCTGCAGCGTGGACCTTTAGTGGTCTGTTGGCTTCCAGCACACCAATTCAAGTCCATCTTCCATGGAGCAACTTCCCATTGCAGATGCAATCACATTTCTATCTGCTTAAAACCTGGGCCCGAGGGAGAAGTAATCCCCTGGCAGGTGTGTCCCACAGCCCTAACCTCCTCTGCATGTCATTGCTGCACAAGGTTCCTCTTCCTCCTCCCTAGCCCCTGCCCCACCTCTGAGCACTCTCTCCAAGCGATGGGGGAGAGGGTGTGGGGAGGGTTGAGGCTGAGCCAGTGCTCCATCCCCAGGCGAAGGACAGCCTCAATTTGCTATCCTGCCACCAAAAACCCACTGTTTTCCAAAATGCTTCCATCATGCTCTTTGATGACCTTGAACCTCACATCATAGGGCAGTAACGAGCCAGTCCTCCCCTCACCATTAGCAAAAAATTGGGTTTGGTCCCTGCATCCTGCTGCAGAGATGTGCAATGCAAGGCCGCAGTGGCTCTTCATGGCCACCAGAGGGCAGTGCAGGGCAGGCAAAACAGGTGAGAACGCATCTCAGGATAGAGGATGGCTCCAGCACCTTTTGACCTCCTGCAGTTCTTTCAGTCCCTACCAGATGAAAAATCATAAACTGGAACACCCAACAGAGCTGGAAACTCTTGGACAGGCAGGGCCTCTCTGTGGCCCCAGCCAAGGAGATCAGGGCTTTCCAGACCAATGTGCCCTTGGATCATCCAGGGATCTTGTTAAACTCAGGACCTTGAGCCTGTGGGTCTGATCCAGCAAGGCTGAGATTCTGCATTCCCAACCAGTTCCTAAGGATGCTGGTGCCGCTGACCAAGGACCACATGTCCAACGGCCAGGCAGTAAGGAGTGCATCTTGAATTCGACTTTGTGTCTGGCCCTAACTCCTCACTGGGACAGACACTGCGCTGAACCATCTCTCTGAGTCACAGCTGCAACCATAGTGCCTAGTACATATGGCACTCAATAAGTGTGGGATAAATAGAATCCTTGAAACTGACTGTGACAGGCTTCCTGCAGCTTAGCCCTTTGGCTAAGAAGCTTCTGAAGCCACCCAACCCAGTGGCCTTTTTCATTCTTTACAATCAAGCAACTTAATATTTTCTGCAAAAACATCAAGAATTCATAAAGCATGCACCAAAGTGAAGCCCACTGCAAAAATGATCATAAATTCTTCCCTCCCCAGTGGGCCTTTGCAGTGTGACCTTGCTACGCCTCCCACCCAGAGGTGAGACTTCTCTCCACCTCATCTGCTCTCTCAGTCTGGGTTTGCCCTCAGGACTTGTTTTAGCCACAGTAATATTAGCAAAAGTGATGCCTGCAGAAGTGCAAAAAGAGCTTGGATACTGGGCTCTCCTGTCTTGGTGTTTAGCCAAAGGAGCTGAAAATTAATGCTACACAAAAACCTACACATGTATGTCTATGGCAGCTTTATTTTCAGATTTCCAAAATCCAGAAGTAACACAGATATCTTTCAACGACCGTATGGATAACTTTCTGCTCAGTGTCATGTGAATTTAAAAATGATCTAAGAAACAAAATCTATTATTTAAAAAAAAAAAAAAGTGCTGCTGAACTGGGGTTTACTCATTTTCTTGCTGCTCAGGCCCCTGAGACCCCAGCATGTGAAAATCCCAGGCTGTCCTGCTGGGCCCTGATGCCCATCACATCCAGTCACTTTCCAGACCTCACATGAGGGCTTCTCAGCCCTCAGCTCCAGCCAAGACACTCTGGGTGCAGAGAGGAGCCAGCCCAAGGGTGCCGAGGAAAGAAATGAGGAATGTGCTCCACCTCAGATTTGAGGGCGAATCGTTACCACCTCAGAATTACCTGAAATATATCTTCCCTTAAAGATGACACCCCACATAAAAGACAATAGCTCAAAAACCATGAACCCAGAAGGACAAATGGATGAGAAAACAGCACAGACTCAGTTCTGAAAGCAGAGCTGGTCATGCTGATGTAGCCAATCCCAGCAGGCTGTGCGGTGCGCTTTCAGGGCAGGGCCTGTGAGCAATGCTGTTTCCTCAGGGAAGGTTCTGAGATGCAATGAGCTACTTCTGGCCTGGGTGAGAGCTGGGCTGAAGCAGGAGGGTGCAAAATGGGAGGGCCAGTTGATGTTGTGTAGGAAGAGGTCAGGGGCTCAGACCAGCCCACCAAGCCATGTGGCTTGTGTTCCTTGGCTCACCCCACTCAGGACCCAAGGTGCTTTTCTTAGAGATGCCAAACCAAAGACCACCAGTCACTGGCCTTAAAAGAAAAGCTCTGTTTCATATGCTGAATCTTGAACCCAGCCCCAGGCCTCCTGCTCAGCTCCAGGTGTCTTGTCCTCTAAACAGAGACTAGAAAATTGTTCTCTAGGAAATCTGACCAGCCCAAGAGAAGCAAGCTACAACATGGACACCAGGTGTTACCCAGTGAGTAGCACAGCCAGAGTGGGCCTGTGAGTAGGATGCTTCTAATCTGTGCAGTGGCCAGCTCCCAGCAACACAGCCAGCAAAGCCCTACCATGCACATGAGGAGAACCTGGTGGCAGAGAACAAGGAAACCGGAAGGGAAAGAGTGCACAGGGAGGAAGGAGATCACCGTGCCCCGAGCAACAGGGGAAGTTAGAGCATGCGTGACACAGCAGGAACCTGGGCAAAGATGGGAGGGCTCCCTCCTCAGGCCCCTGGGCAGTGCCAGGCCATCTCCTCTGTGTGCAGAAGCCACCATCGGTGGTGTATCCTTAGTGCCAACACGAGGGACAGCACAGCCCACTGTGGCCCAGACTGTAGGCACTAGAGGAGGGTCTGAGAGAGGGACACGGGGGGGAAAGTGCCCCTAGAACCCTTGCCTGAGGTGGCTTTGAAAGCCAGGACATTGGGGCCAGCTTGCTTTCTCAGGAGACAGCAGCCAATCCCCAGCCATGCCTCATGTTGGGATGGGTAAGAGGTAGAATCGGGCCAAGGCCCCTAGAATGCTCTCCAGGCAGGGCCATGATGGCCGAGCACAAGGAAAGACAGTACCCAGGGGGGCCCCGGTGGCAGGGCTGGGAGGGTTGGGGGAGAAAGCACATGTGTATGTGCAAGGCAGAGAGTGGGGGAGAGAGCTCCCCATCACTGTGGGGAATGCAAGCACTGGCAGAGTAGGGGGAGAGGTCTTCCTGCAGTCCAGAACACGGCGGGATGCTGGGCTACTGGGAAGATCACTTCCCAACTTCCCTTCAAGCCTGAAGACCAGAATCCTTGTACCAGGGATGCGGGTGTGATGTGGGTGTCTGGGTGCTTCTGGCAGGGGCACAGCGAGGTCAAGCACCAGGAGAGAAGACGAGGTGCCCAGCTCACCAGCAGAGCCAGAGACCATCCTGCAGAAGCTGATGTGGGCTGAGGTGGGCACAGCAGGTCCAGGCCAGGAAGAGTGAGGAGGATTAGTGCTGAAAAGTCAAAAGCCACCGGAGATGGGCTAGAAGGCTGTGCACCAGGCTGGTGGGCGGGAGTAGTGGACCAGGGCTGGAGGGGTGATGGGTTGGAATAAACCGGGCCGCACCTGCCAGCGCCTCTAGTGCCTCTTGGGAGGGGGCAGGGCACAGCCAGGAGTGAAGGTGGGCAAGACGCCTCTTAAGGCTTTGGGTGGGAGGGAGCACATTCATGGGAAGAAGGGAGATTTTCTGGGTGAGGCAGCAGCAGGGGATCTGAGCCGCCTGGGT